GCAATCAGTGGGTTGAACTGCGTTCGTCATATATCTATGTTTATTTCAAAGTGAAATATCGCTTCGAACCGAAATAACAGACCTCCAGCCAGGTTCTTTGGACCGCAAACTTTCACAGTCTGCATATTTCTCATTAAGCTAATTTAACTCAATTTCAAATTATCGAAATTTTCTTACTAGTTACTCAGGCAAAAATGAGCCATTACTCGTGGCGGTTGTTAGTTGTGTAGTCTCCTTCAGACACGCAGTGTCACTACGCAGTGTAACATTATCTTAACAACATTTTAAATTGACGTGGACACTGTTGTTGTCCTTGATAAGAATTATGAAGTTTCTATATACAATTTTTTCGGCATTTAGCGTTCCACTTGTGTTCGCATGGGTACCGCTTTTCCGAAATTCTTTCCTGTAGCAGTTTTGTCATTTCTGCTGTCTCTCTCGGTTCCCCCCTGGAGTTTTAGGGAAGTCAGCGACATTTTGTTTAAACGGCCTCAGCGAGCACGACACACCCTTTGTCCGTTTAGCACTGGAAATGCGCTTGCTCGAAATCGTGATTATAAGTGATATTTATGTCGACAGCGTTCTGCTCTCGGCCGGCGAGCGGGCGGGTGGACTGGGAGGGGGTGAGGAGACACGAAAATGCTGCAAGTGGAAAGTTGACGATTCATTGATCAGCTCTCAAGTCGCAGATAAAACCGAAGGCGAATACATTGTTCCCCGATACTTAATAATGCACGCGAATGACACTAAGCTATGTCGGCTATTTGCGGGGGCGAGGAGAGGAGGGTAGGGGTGTCTTGATCGGACTTGCAACTCTCGCATTGACGTATGAAAAAGTGTAACATATCCAAGTATTAAAGAAATAACTGGTGTAGGTAATCATAGCTGCTACATGTAAGCTCGCTTGCGAGCACAGCAGTTTTGGATCTTGTTTCCTGCCAAAGCAGAGAGCGGGAAAACTAAACAAACCACAGGAGAAAGAAAATCATAATTTTGACACTTCCTATCCAAACTATATCTGCGATGAATGCAGTGTTTCATATCGTCAGTTATCAGCGATTTGACATAAATTAATCATTCTTTCCTATCCAACGACTTCAGCGGAAGTTTTACAACGATATTTAGCCGTTCGGGTTACCTGTCTTTGCAGTCTTTGGCATCAGAAACGAAGACAAGTTGCACTCCACTTTCTCTTGTAAAAACGGCAGACCCGCACTACTTCAACACCTCGGAAAGAGCGCGACTTTGAGATTCTATCAACTGCATATAATTTGACGCGGGTAAATTTACCCCTCCATCCTCCCCCCTTCTCTCGCCTAGCTATAAATGGAGCAGACGTTAGCTGTAACCGTGTCGTATTGACTGCATTTCAAGCTATGACTGGGTTTACCTGCAAACGTGCATATTTTATTGGTTATGTGTCTGAAACCCATTTTTTACACTGAATGTTAGACCCACAAGTGTCCATTGGACACTAAAGTAAATGGCTTTTGTTAATTTTCAGCGGTTGAATGATGTACGGTACTGTGCCATTGAGTTTCACTGTGCAACGATTCTTGCCTTCCGTTTAAGATCTCTGGACCTCATTTCTGCCCTTGCTAATGTATGAGTGAGCTTTATTTTGCATTTGCGATTTTTAATCGCCTCCACAGACCACCCCAACTCAGAAAATTAATACGAAACGCACCCGAAAACGAAATGATGTGAAGAAACAGGGAACTTCACCAGAAGGACGGACTAGATGACGGCACATCTTCACTATATGTGTACGAAATCCTACGAAATCAGAGTATTGAAAACGATAAAACATTTTTAAACTGCATCTACATTTGCAGATGTGACTTTTTTAGGGACACAGTAGAACGTCTGAGCTGCGGCCCTGCACTGAAGTCTACGTGATGACGTGGACTTGTTCAGGCCGAATGTTGTGAGCACGAGTCATTTGAGAACACTGTGCGAGGGCTACTGTCCATAAATTGTGGACATCCGGAGGAGTGAACACTGTCAGAACGCATTTACACGGCATTTACCGAGGCAGTTTATAGAGACCGATGGAATGCTCTCAAAGAAACCTTACAATTTTTGAGTTCGCCACACAGAGGGAAGAACTTTTAAATATCTTGCCCGTAGGCTCTAGTCCTAAAAGCGGGTTTACTAGGTCATTAATCTTTCCCAGCTTCTGATTGAAGCTTCCGTTACAGAGGTTGAGGATGTTCTTCCCTTGGTGAAGTAGCCTTCTCGGTCTTGCCAATTTAAGTTCTAGAGCCCAACACTGACCAAGCAAATATGTCAAGCAAAGGACCTCCTGCTTCAAGGTTGAATATAATCCCAAATTTCTTGACGTATTGCTAAGCAGTGGAAAGGTACCAAACGCCAATTAGCCTGAAGCGACTTCCAAGGAACATTCACTTTCAAACGCACACTCCAGCAGCCACTGGGAGCTATTTGCTGTTCACACTGTAAATGCATTTATGACGGTTGTATCAGTTTAAAGGACTCTAGAACCCGACTCCGTAGACTTACCTTTTTTTCTTCGAACCGAATTGCAAGGCGCAGTCTTCTCAGTGGATCACGTATGTTTGCACCGTCTTCAAGGAAGTCGGAGATTACGGCCTCCACCTCCTGAGTTCCACGACAGAGATCCATCATTTCACAGGCGAAGTTCATGCATTGTTCCACGAGTGTCAGGTACTCGCGCTGTTTTTATTAGCAAAAGAAGAGTGACGGTTTTGTTATGATGCCAGAGAACATCTGCTATAACATGAAGTTTGTCGGATGCCAATGATCTGATGAATTGTAAACCGAAATTATTTGAAATGTGTTTCTGATTATGAAAGACTACTTAAGGAGGATGTTAATAAAAATTATTAAGTAGTAAAATTGCAGAATCCTTTTGTTTGAAAGAGTTTGATTCCGGCAAATTTCAAAATATTTACTTGGTTAAAATGCGACCATTTACATAATATTCTATTCAATTTCTTTGACATACGCTTATCCCTTTAAATAATTTTGTATACAAAAATGAATGAAAACATTCTTGTACATCTTTGTTGGGGAATAACGTTTTTCTTCAAGTAGCCTACTGAAAAGGTAGATTTTGGTTCTTTATCTAGGATTTTTGAGAGCATGGAATGTCCATTCCTAAATATTGTATCTGTTTATAAAGTATACAACATGCTCCATGTCTATTGAATAGTGTATTATCAATAAACAAATTCCTCCTTACAGTGTAGAACAGTATTCATTTTATTTATTTGTGTATTTATTGCCAGTTAACAGACCCGGTGTGCTTCTGAATCTCTAACTATATGTGTAGTGGCAGATTACACTACGCGGTATGAGCATTATTATTGCACATAAGTGCTTGTTTTGAATCGAAAATGCATTTAATACATCAGCCCATATGTTCTGTTAATATTATCAGTTCAACGCCTACTGTGCTCATAACAACCCTAAATTCACATTTAACTCTGGTCGGAAACAAAAAACTGGATTTTCTGAATGTAGGAAATGACGTTTTAGAAACGACATTGTTTTCCCCCTACGTTTCGGTTTCTCCCTCAAGCTAAGCATCAAGCTCAGTCACAGGTAAAGGTGATGACTGCACAAGGGACGCGGTATTTAAGGAACGCCGTCGCTATTCCCCCCACCGGCACAGCATAATTGGAAGCTCGCGGATTCATCGCAGGTTGTCGAAATTACTAGGACTGGAGACAGTACTCACTTCCACGCCCCTAATGCAGTTAACTACGTCATATAAATTGAGTTTCC